CAAAACGACAATCTAAGGGAACAGTAAAGGGAACGGTCCAAAGCAAAAACAAGGTCGAAGGATAAACACGTTCTAAAGAAAAAGAGAAAAGAACAACAAGGTCTAAACAAAACAAGACAATAACTTCTCTTAAAGAAAAAGGGGAATTGTCTCAAGAGAAAAGTATATTTCTAAAGGAAGCAACTGATTTTTGCATCAAGATCTTGTCTCGCATATCTGCGCTTGCACCAGCCGAAGGTTGAAATGACTCAGTTGACTCTTGGTCAAGTGGCTAGCTGTACTAATTGGTCGTTCCATGGCCAAAACATTCTGTGTGTATGAGCTTCATACTAGTAAAAAGGGCATCGCTACTAGTAACAAGAAGCTATTAGGGGCTCCTGGCCTTACTACTAGGAGCAAGGACGCTACTAGGGGCTCCTGGAGTATTTGGTTCTCATTCGCATCGTTCGAGGAGTCTGTTTCCAACCGGACGTCGCAGGAGCGACGGCCTTCAACCTAAAAGCGATGGCCTGCAATCTAAAAGCGATGGCCTCCAACATACTAGCGATGGCCTCCAACCTACTAGCAATGAGATGATAGCATTGTGCATCGTGTTGCGGTTTGACTTGACTTTGTCCATAGTTTACTTTTTTGCCCGCCCTTCATCACGCAACACCTTCGACTATAGGATCTCACAACTACTTTGTCACTTTACCAGCTGGTCATTGGTTGTTTGGCTAGATTGCTTCGCACTTTGTCAGCGCTCATTTGCTTCGCACTTTTCGGAAAGCTATGCTGAATGTTGTGCGGCTTGTGTGGCAGACCCATACTTTCTGCGGATGATCCAGAAGCGACCCTCCTCAAGGCATCGTTTTTCTTGCCGCCCTCGTTTTGGAATCATGCCAACAACGAATTGCTATGCGCAGGCTGTTCAGTTGTTGTCTGGAACTCAGGTCTTCAAGGAGAGATCGCCTGAAATTGGAAAAGACAGAAATATGATTTAAATCATCTTTTTTAGCCCGCTCCTATTTAATAAGGGGCCACCCCGCACACCCCAACCACCGGAAGCTACTACATATTATGGACGCAGGATAGCTCATTGCAAGGAAGCTCCGGGGGGTGAGCTTCCTTGAAGAAGCGCTCGCACTATTGATTTGGTTCCTAGATTTTTAGGGAAACTTAAATGGAAGAGAGCAGTCGTGAAAGGCTGGCATATCCTAAATGCAATGCATTGCCGGTGGCAGGGCAGCCAAGAGTCGTCAGAGATATTTTGCATGAGTAAAAAAGAGTGAAAGAAAGGAACATGGAATAAATAGGAACAATCAGGAAGCATATAGTTAAATCACAAGAAGTAAAATACATAGATACAAAAAAACATATATAAGATAAAGATAAATCAATGGGTCATGCCTTCACCCTGCCATAGCCCCCGGTGTCCGAATTGCTGAAAGAATCCGTCTAGAAACTTGAAATGCTTTGACAGGTGCAGGACATTGTGTTGCCAACAGGTCTTGCAAGCCACATTTGGATGCACATTCAAGGTCGAGATCCTCGCCTGCTCAAAAACCCAGTCAAGGGATGCGCAGAGCGTATTCTATAGTTTGATTGTTGTTTCAACATGCTTTTTTATGCTTCATACAGCACCCCAGGGTCGCAATGGGCGGCAAAATATTTGCGCTTGGTTCGCACAGTGGCCTTGTTGGCCCGCCAAGGTCAGCCCAATTCGGTTGACTGTTATGGCATATTTGACTCTCTCCGCCTGTCAGCGCCACAGTTCGCATCAATCCAGCACTCTTTTTCGCTTTGATCGTTTTTGTTCCTAGTAGCGATGCCCTTTGTTCCTAGTAGCTTCTTGTTCCTAGTAGTAAGGCCAGGAGCTACTAGTAGGCTCCTTGGTTTACATTCACGAAATCTTCATCTCAGGTTTGGCCTTCATTCTGAACCGCTTGAGAGGTGAGCAATTGCTACCGCTTGCAGAGCTGAAAGTTGGTGGACAGGCAGAACTGCGTTGATTATCTTCTTTGTTTTACTAATAGCTTCTTGTTACTACTAGTAAGGCACTTGTTACTACTAGTAAGGCACTTGT